TAGTAACGTTATTTCTCAAAAAAGAATCTACTCCATTCAAACCTACCTTTTAATAACTAATCTAGAGCTAATCCATAAGAAATTCTATGATCCAAATGTTCTCAGAAGCCATTCCTACAAAAAGAAAGAGAAAAAAGAACATTAATAACGTTTTTTTCTAAAGAATTCACATTTAAACCTACCTACTAAGAACTGATCTAGAGCTGATCCAAAGAAAATTTTATGATTCAAAGATTCTTAAAGACTGTTCTTAAAAGAAAGAAAGAGAAATAAAAATGTTAGTAATGATATTTACTTTTAAATGCGATTAATATTTTTTATTAGAAATTATATTTATATAATATATAGTCAAATATCAATCAAATATTTAGTTTTAATACAAATTATTAAGTTGTTATTATTTTTTAAACAATTCTTATAAAATTAGTAATTCCCGGAAATAAGTATGAAAATAATCATGAGTGACACTTAGTGCGACATGGGATTAGTTTAATAATTTTCAACTTACATTATTTTTATTAACAAATTTATAAATAAAAATTTAATTGTAAAGAAAAATATTTACATAAAACATTTGTGATGAATCTTTGAAATGATTATTTTAAATAAATCTTTTGTCAAGAAATGAAGCTTTTAGAATTTATAACCTTTATTCACGCTTTTTATACGCTTTATATTTAAGCAAATTCATGTTGAAGATATAGAATTTTTTTTTTTTTTTCGTCCAGGAAACTTTTCTTTGAATTGTTGAAGAAATTAATTTTAATACATCAGTTGAACATAATTATGTTAATTTTTATTAAACTCATATTTCGACAAGTGACAAAGATTTTAAAAACTATAGTGAAATGCACACATTTTGATTTCTATGATAAAGTTGACAGTAATGTGCAAAAATTGTCTAATACGGTCGTTGGAAAGTTACATATCATATTGTTTTAATTCTTTCTTACTGATTAGGGAGGCTTAAGTAATCCACGCGTAAGACGGCACGAATTTTGAGAAATAAAGAAATTTTCGATCGCTGCGCCAAATGCAATCGAAACTTAAAAAAAAAAATAATAATTAATTACTGCGTCCAGTCTATTTTTTAATAAATAAAAATAATTTAAAATTACAAAATAAAACTTAACAATGCGGCCAGAATCAATCTGACCCCATAAATAAAAAATTAATATATAATCAAAATAAGGTTTCCTTACTTATAGATCCAGCAGAAAAAAATCGTCTAAAAATATTTATGGATCCAGCTGAAAGCTAAAGAATAATTAAAACTCACACCGAAATACTTGCGATTTAACCAGACAATTACCGCCTATAAAAAAAAATTAATGAATAAAAATTAAAAAATAAACTTACCAATGCATCTGATGCCGCAAAAATCGTTTAAAAGAAGAATTAAATCGACGAATCCAAAAAGAACTGAAATTAAATAATTATCGCTGCTATCGAAGGCAAAAAAAAACACAATCAACCACAAACTGATAAAAAATAATTACCTAATACTTTCAGAAGTGATCAAACCATAAAGACAAGAATAGAACGTAAATATTCGATCGCAAACATCTAGCAATATTTTTATCATCGATCTAATTAGATTTAGTTAGGATAATATTTTAGAATCAAATTTCAAACTAGAGGTTGGAATCGACTTAAAACTTTTTATTCATACGCAAACATCACATATAATTTAAACGCGTTAAAATGTGAAATTGTCCAAATGATCCCCTACCTATAGTTGCGAGGCAAAACCCTAAATCCATTTTGGCAAAAGTCGAAACTTTTCAGAAATTGTTTTGACAATTTCGACAGTTCAATGGGTTTCAATGGGTTTCAATGGTTTCGAAAGTTTCGACAGGTTCGATGGATCTTGAAAGTTTTGACGGTTTTGATAACATCTTTGCGAATTAATTAAATTTGACAGGTTTCAACAGGTTTATTGTATCACAATCGTAGAATATAAAAAAACGGGTGGTTTTTTTTTTTGCTTTTAATTTTATTATCTAATGCATCCCATTTAATAATGAGCAGCAATGGAGATGCAAATCGAAAATTGGCGGACGACCGGAAAAAGATGTTTAGAAAACATTTTATAATAGGAAGCGGAAATGCTCCTGGTGTTATGAAGCAACGTGTAAAGCTTGTACAAAATATTGGAATAGATAATGGAAGAACATTTAGCAAATCATTGCATTCAGGTGGAACCTTCAGTTATTCTTGAATATTTATATATAACAGTAGCCAAAGAAAATAAAAAAGTAAAGATACAAACACTGTCTATGGAATAATGGATGCCTTTTTAGGTCCTGTTAAATTAACAATGGGAAAAGTAGAAAGGATTGACCGTGCACTTGTAAAAGCTTTTTACATGTGCAGGTATATCTTGGCGAATTATTGAACATCCATTTTTTAGGGATCTTTTAAAAGAACTTAATTCTGCATATGAATCACCAAACCGTAAACATCTTGCTGGATGTTTATTGGAGAAAGAAAATGTCAATTGTTAATAACAAAAACAATAGAGATATAGAGCATCAAGAAAGCTTAACATTATGTAAGTAAGTATTTTTTTTTTTATCATTTTAACATAATATTATTTTGAAAAGCTTTAGAAAAAATCATTTTTTAATTATTACATCTGAACGCAAGGAGCAGTTATCAGATTTTTCAAATGAATCTCATACTGGAAATTTTTTAGCTACTAAATTAAAAGAAGTATTGGATCACAAAAATTCTCAGCTATTTTAAGTGATCATTGCTTTAATGTTAAATTAGTTAATGCAAAATGTATTCACAGTTATTAATCTAAATGACACAAGATATATTGACAATTGAATTTGCTGGTCGAATAATTCATTATTGTAATAGGTTGGTTGCCTTTTTTAAAAAATCTGTACTTGCAAGTATATTTAATATATTATGTTTTTTAAATTAATAATTTTTTTTTAATATTTAATATTTATATTTTTTTAGATGCTAAATTACATGAAATTATAGCTACAAATAATATTAAAGAAAGTAATTTAAATATTTTAAAAACCCGACCCGATAGGCAACTGCAAATGAATGTGTAGCAAGTATAATTCACTTACGGTGGATAAAAGCAAAGGCAAGAACACATATTTTTATACTGCGTTTTGGATTATTTAGGCTAGAGTTTTATAAAGCGATGGAATGCAGAAAAAAATAATCAATAATTATTACAACTGACAAATCATAAATCCTAAATAATAATTTTTGATTAAAATACAGTTGATAATATGGATATTGATTGACGAGAAATTTCGGTTTTAATTTTAATGTTTTGGTAGTAAATGTTGTGTTGGTAGTTTGCAGAATCAATATATTCCACGTTCAACTAATAAGTACATAATTCGGGATAATTTTTGTGATTAGTGGCAAAAGTTTGCTAGAAATGTAAATACCCAAACAGGAATACATGATAGATTTAATATTTGTGCAATTTAAACTATAATATAATATATTATAAATCAACTGTATCCTCGCAAATTCACTAAAACATGAATAATTTTAATAAAGATTTCTTCTTTCTAAGTTCTCTAATTAAAGATCTCCTCAGTGAAAGATTTTGAAATATCGAGAATTGCTTCCAATTGTTGTGTAGTGATTAATGCATCAGGATTATCTTTCGTAGTTAATGCCTGATTAAATGAAATACATTAATATCTAGTGATATAGGACATCATTCACTTCCATATAAATACATTTACCTTTGCTAATCTTACAGCCGTCTTAATTTCTCTTCCATTTAAAGGCCTCTCTTTCAAATAATTAATATTCACCTGGGTTTTGCCTTTTCCTTCAACGCGATCCAAAAATGTACGCCATAATTGTTCACGTGCTTATTTATAATTATGAATATGATTTATCAGTCGAAAGGAACATCCTTTTCGTCATAAAAAAAAAAAAAATACTTGCTTACCATCAGCATCCAGTTCATTATATTTCAAGGCAACCGAAATACGAGATGTGAAAGCGGTATCAAAGCAATTTACTACAGAAAATCAAAATATGTGTTAAAATACCGTTGAGGTAAAATTTTCAAAATATCCAAAGATTCTTACCTCGATTTGTTGTCAAGAACAAAATTCCTTGATGGTATTCGAGTAACCTTAAGAATATACTAACTAGAGCATTGCGTTTGATGTCATCTTCACTTCGACGTTCAAGGAATATATCGGCTAAAAAAGATAAATAGGGTAATTGGTAAAGTATCATTTTTGACGAACACCAAACAAGTTCCTTACCTTCATCGATTAATATGACGGCATTCCAAACACTTGCCACATCAAGAATTTCGCTCAATTTAGATTCTAAATCAACAACTTTTGTCCCTAATTCTCCAACACTAACAGAATATAATGGTCGATGAAGAAACTCGGAAATTGCTTCTGCGGTTAATGTTTTCCCAACTATTGAAGATTATTAATTAGTTTTATGGAACCATCGGCAGACCAATTTCTGCTTAGTTAAAGATACTTACCTCCAGGAGGTCCATGTAATAAAAAGATGCAACCACCACCTTTACCGCTGATAAGATCCACTCCTTTATATTTTGACGTAACAAGACTGAGAATCAGTTCTTTTTTGATTGGATCCATGACAAGTTGATTGAATACATCATCATCAAATTTTACATCTAAAATCAGAAGAATTTAAGAATGCAAATCCAATATAACAAATGAAATAGCTGATATGTATCATATACCTTCTATATGTTCAACGTATATTTGACCCCATTTTTTCGCCACAAAACTAAATCCATAACATGAAGGTGCGCACATGAAAAGATCTTCCTCACAGACAGTTTTTACATTATATTTATTATTATGGACATTATTAACAACTCTCCTCGCGGTATCCATATTGTAACTTGGATTAGTTTTGGTGAATGAGACGGTATCAATCATAACGCGGCCTATGGCTTTAAAAAAGACGAGACCCCAAAAGGTAACGCGAAATAAATTGCCGGTGTAATGAAGATAATGCGGACCGATTGCGTATTTCACGAATTTTCTTCCCCGTGTTACTAGCTCGTCGCGAATCGGATTCTCTTTTGATAATGGAACAACGGAAAGTTCTTCGATTTTACATACACCTTCCCAAGATTCAACAAAGAATGATTTTGTTCCACGAATAAAAGAGACCCCATCTAAAAAGATTTCAAATTAAAACGTAATTTTTTTTTAAATTAAAATCGTAATATATAAATATAAATATCATTATGCATACCTGAATCGATTACTTCGCATTGAACAATCATATATTCATGATGATAATTACTATGATACGATGCTTTGATTACTTTCGCGCCTACTGTATGTTCGTTCCATACTGCGCGTACATGTTGACCTTAAGCATAGAATGTCGCATCATTAAAATGCAAAGCTGCTTATGATGAAATTAATATTAATACACTAAAAGACTTAAATAATATACCTTTTGGAAATAGATAAAATAGACTTTTATATGTGATAACATTCTGAAAGAAATAATTTAGAGAAATCAACACAAATATATTCCTCCAAAAAAAAAATAAATAAATAAATAATAAAAAGAGAAGCTTATTTGAACTTACTCTGTCGGTCATTTGTTTTATTTGAGAAACTTTAGATTGATACTCCTTTTCAATCCAATCAACCAATGGCTTCAATTGATTATTTATATTATGAGAAACATAATATTCATCTTGATCTTCGTCTTCATATTCATCAAAAATCATGGCTTCCGGTTCGTTTCCAACAGCCTTTTTAAGATCAGGAAAAGCAAGAAACAACTCATGTGATGAAATCTACTTTATTCGAAAAGAAAGCGTGTAAAGCTCAGAATGTAGCACAAAAGCATGATGATCATATCATATAATACAACCTTGGGATTGACATCATATAAACTTTCTCCAGGCAATAAATTTCGCAAGTATTTTACAAGAACTTTGTCCACTAAATGAACAATTACATTTTCATTATCACGTACTACTTTAAAAGTATCGGGTACTGTGACGTTTCCGTTAAAGGTGTCAGGTTTATTGACGTTCCCGTTAGAGGCATCAGGCATGCTGACTTTTCCATCAGAGGTATCAGGTTCTTCAGCGTTGCTTTTAACGGTCAATAAAGAATTCATTATGCTTGTTGTAACGTTAAGTGTTTGGAAATTAAATTTTAAACTTTTTATTTAAAAAAATCAAAAGTGATAATGATCGCCAACAATCTAATTCAGTTTATTATCAAATGATCAACCCGATTAAGGATTGTATTTCTAAAATGGTAAGAAAAAGAAAAAGTATCTTCCCTGCGGATTTGCGGATTTTGCTGAGTTGATTGACACGAATTATATATTCTGATTTTTTAACCAATTAATCAAGTTGAAAATTTAATTAGTCAGAAGTGTAACGAAGGACTATATATTTTCTATGCAAGTTACGTTCTTGATGCATTCTTTAAGTAAAAGACGGGACGGACATTGAATCTGCATATTATATTTTACTAATGGGTGGGTGCATCAAAAACAACACTTCATACTTAACAATTGTTTCCATTTCTAATCAAAATCTAAAGCCATCTAACTTGAATTAGATAAAAAAACGCAGATTAAAAAAATAAATACCAGATTCTTTGCGCAGTTTTATATAATTCTTCAATAATATAATGTTCAGATTCAGGTATGGGTTCTGACTCAGGTACTAGTTCAGGCATAGGTTCATGGCGAGGTAGTTCAGACTCGGGTTTTAGTAATATCAGGTTTTGGTACATATGAAAAAAAATTTAAATATTGTTTACAATGATTCTACCCAAAATCTCTCAGATAATTTTGGTTAGTCTTTACATATTATGCGCAGAAATGGCCGGTCACAATTTCAGCCCTGTCATAAATGGATATTATTAATTTTCGCAGTAATCATTGAACTAAAACTAGTAAAGTGCAATTTATTTTGGTAGATGTGATAAAAAATATTACGGTCGATTATATGACATCATTTCACAGGATGGTTAAATCTTTATCATTAATTTATATATTTTTTAAAGCGTAAAGAATCCTTTGCATAACATTAAATTTTAATGTCTTAAAATATGTTCAGTGAAGTAATTGATCCAAATGGTTATAGCAATCGAATACGTAATAAAACTTTTGGATTCTGTGACGATTGTGATCAACCAAACACTGATAAGAATTAATGTAAAGGTTGTAATTCTCAAAGATTTCAACGAGATCTATGGACCACTGAAAATGATGACGTCGATAAATTTATTCGAGAAGTTCAAGTAAATGCAAGAAATGCTTCTGAAGTTATAGAATGGATTCCTTATACTAGTTTGCACAATACCTTGATGAAGGTGGTTTCGCTACGGTTTATAGCGCCATTTGGTTAGATGTATATATTTATTGTTGGAACGGTGACTATAAGAAAAGATATCGCGATCCACTTATCAAAGAAGACCATGAAAATGCATTGAATGCGAAAATTAAGTCACCTCTCGATGAAGATGAAAATGATGGAATTCATGTGGCGTTGAATGTTTGAAAAGTCTTCAAAAATAAATGAAGATTTTTTAAAAGAGGTAACTGATTCCTTTCAATAATATAAACTGATCATCTATTTATAAATGAAAACTGATAAATTTTTACAATTATTGATAATTTAGTGGAAAATTTATATGGAATTTATTTATTCAGCTATAAATCATAAATATTCCATTCCTTTATATGGAATATCTAAAGACCCAGAAAACATCCGATTTTATGGTTGTATTAGCAAAAGCGAAATTAGGCAATCTGAGATCTAATTTATTAATAAAGAAACACAATCCATCTGATAAATTCGATAATTTATACTATTTAACATGCTCACTTTTTGCTTTGCATAATCGCAAATTGTTTCTTGGCGATTTGCATAGTGATAATTTACTTTTAATGGAGCATAGAGAGATGTATATTAGTGATTTTGGATTTTGTAGAGCAGTCGATGAACCGTATAATTCAAAACATATTTATGGAAAGCCATATACAACAGCTGCTGACATATATTCTTTTGATATCATAATGTGGGAAATGGTTTCATGTATTCCTGCCTTTGAAAATGTTCCTTGAGATTTAAAGCTTGTCTTAGACATATGTAACGGAATGAGACCAAAACAAAAAATCTTTGCAGATTCTGAATATGTTGAATTAATGACAAAATGTTGGGATTCTGACCCCGATAAAAGACCAGCTGCAAAAGAATTATTTGATTATTTTTAAAAAAATAATTTCGATCTTTCTCCAATCGGTGATGAAGAACGGAATCATATACTAGGTAATTTATTCAAATTTATATTTTAAGTAATTTGTTAACAAATAATATTATTTTATCTTTAGAAGATGAGCTGATCACTAAAGACAGCACATTACAATGCCATAAAAGCCGAATGCATGATTATAGTGCAAAAGTAAATGAAGAACCAAGTATAGACAGCTTAGGTAATTAAAAATTTAAGATTTATTTAATGTATTGGCTTCATTATAGACAATTTAATTAAACAATGACATATTCTAGATGCTTTATTAATTTCTGATGGTAAATATCTCGTTAATTCTTAATATTCTTAAATTAATTTTTAATATTATGGACATATTTAACAAATGCGCATAAATGGAAAATTGTCGGATCACAATCTAACATTTATTAAATCTATGTATCTATTCCTTCATTTGAAATGTTTTTAGTCGAACCTTAAAATCACATTGTTAAAAAAAATGATTTACAGAAGAATTCCTTTTTTAAAAAAAAAATGATTAAAAAAATTGTTATATTTTTTTTAAAAATAAACCTAAAGGTTCGAGGTTAATGTTATGTCAAAAAACTAAAAACTTTTTTCTAAATTTTTCAATGGCTAACAACCTGGGTTGATTCTACTTAACAAGACGCAATAATGAACCGTTCATAATAATCTTTCGATAATTACTCTTGCTTCTCTTTCTTATTCTACATAATTGTACCTTTAATGATAATAATTATTTCCTTTTCCCCTCTTTAATATAAATCCTGCTGTGCATATCGTGTGAATCGTGAGCTAAAGTCTCACATATATGTATCCTTCAATATTGCATATATCTTTTGTGGGGTCGAAGTTATTTAATGTGGATTTGAATTTTCCAATTTCAATTAAATTTTGACTAAAAGTAAAATGAAATATCTATAATTCAGGAGAATTGCAATTTTTTTGATCAACAAAGCACAAAAAAAAAAAAAAAAAAATTCCATCGACCCACTTCTTTATAAATTCATTTTGAATTTCTGAGATTATATCAAAGTGTACTGAATTTTCATATTTGTATTTAATATCATGATATTCTAATAGCATAGCAGCTTTCTAAACATATTGTAAGAATAATTTTGCCTTGCGACCCATTATTTAGGTTTCAATATCGGAATAAAAAATTTCAATCACAGTGCAAGTTTTCAAGTCATAAATACACTAGATTTGTTGTAATCGCTTTCAATTATACCTAATTATGTTGTTAATATTAGAAACTAGTGAGTTAGAATTTAACTTCACACTTTAAATGAAAAATTTAAAATTAAATTTATCAAAATATTACAAAAAGAAAGAGGTAATTTGAAACATTCCAAGATAATGCGGAATTTTTTTACAACAAATTAAGATAGATAGAATATTTGTGTTTCACTGAAAAATTTAGAAATACCCAAGCGAGAAGAAAATTCCTCCAAATTTAAAACGAAATAACTGTGGCACCACCAATCAATCGTTGTTCGATTTCTTATAACAGCTACGCCTCATAGGGTGTGTGCATTTGCTTCGGTTTATGCTGCTTTAAAGATACGCGACCAAAATTTGCAGTTAAACAATTCGCCGACTAATTATACTGAAGAAATTAACTTACAGTAAATGAATTATTTTTTACTTGTATGCTTTTGACTGTATAAATTTATGATATTATTATTTATATGGATTAGCTCTAGATTAGTTATTAAAAGGTAGGTTTGAATGGAGTAGATTCTTTTTTGAGAAATAACGTTACTA